TAACACAAGGTGGTGATCCCACAGGTACAGGAGAAGGTGGTAAAATATATGGAGAACCATTTGAAGCGAGACTATATTTAAAAATAAAATGAATTCCGTTTTTATTCAAAACTAATTATTGGATATATGTGATTTAGGGCGAATTTCATACAAGATTACGTTTTTGGAGACGAGATTTAATTGCTATGGCTAATGCTGGAAAAAATGACAATGGTTCCCAATTCTTCTTTACTCTTAGTTCTTAGTTCTACTGGAGAAACTATATGTAACATGCTTGAACTTGAAAAAGTACTTGTAGATGAGGTAAGTTTAATGTTTACAAGAAAATATATCAAGAATTGGTATAAATATAATATTTCTTCTGTTTTGTAGAATAATAGGCCACTTTATCCTTCAAGATTGATATAAACTATAATATTGAACAATCCATTTTCTGATATTATTCCAAGAATAATAGTACAGCAAAGTGAAGAAGTAAAGAACAATTCAAAAACTAAAACAGTAACAGTAAGATTAAAATCATATATGTTTGCAGAATTTTGTCGTGATAGTACTATTCTTTACAATGGGAAATTTTGTTACAGTGATTTCAATCTTTTATCATTTGGTGAACAAGCAGAGGAAGATGAAGAAGAATCTGTGATATTATATAAAAAGTTTAGTGGTAAGGGCAAATCAGCTCATGATCATTTAACAGATCCAAAATTAAGTTCACAACCAGCTGTTGTACCACCAGGACCTCCAAATGAAAAAAGGGAAGAAGACCGTAGCAGTGATTGGGAAAGTGACGACGAAGTAAAAAGTCAAGAAGGATTAGAAGTTATAAAGAAAGTGGAAGAGTTAGTTTATTGTTTACGTTATAACTATGTTATAGAAAGTAGAAATTTTTATTGACTGTCTTGTATTTATATTTTCAGTGCGATAAACGAAAGGATAAAAAATAAATTAATGGATGCAAAGAAAAAACCGAAGATAGTAGAAAATTATAAAATAGATGATGTTGAAGATGATAAAGATATAAAGAAAAATGAATAGGGAATAAATAACTCCTTATGAGGTTTATCACGAGAGAAAACCGAGGAGATGCACGATATGAGAGATAGATGCAAGATAAACCAATATCTAGAATTATTAGGATAACTCATGTATTTGAATAGAATCATTTGCGGTAGGGTGCATATGTCGATAAATATTGTTATTATAATGATAATTATTACGTGATATGTATTATGAAACATCTTTTTCTCGCAATGGCGCGTGATACGGTCATCTACTTAGATTCTAATGTCTATATGTCATTGTTTATTATGTCGTTAACAATTAACGTGTATATGCGAAACTTTCAAAGTGAATAAAAAGTACTTAATCATATAACCATTGCAGTTTCCTTTTCTTCTTTTTATGAAGAACAAAATCACTCATCTTCATCTGTGACTTCATGTTCGTGTATAATTAATTCATCAACTTTTATAATTACATCGTAAAGGGACAGCCTTAGCAAGCTTTCTAATATAATTCTGGATATGAATTCCTTATTATTTAAATCATTATTGAAGATTATTGCATAGAATGTTTGATCTATTACCGAAGATACCAATGGTTTATCTTTCGATTAGTATAATGGAATAATTAGTAATTCAAGTTTATGAATTAATTATGGAAATTTGAAATTTTTCTTACAGAAATACATTTATATTTGCTTCAGCGATATTAATAAGTATAAGAAACATCGTTTGATATTTTTCAACGATACTTTACCACATAGCTATTTTAAAGATGAACATTTTCCCGCTACAAAAATACCTAGCGTATCCGGCTGCTCGTCAACTTCCAGTTGGTGACAAGCGGGCATACTGGTAACAAATGGTAGAATATTCTCATGCGTCAAAGTGAAGCATTAAATCTCAAAACGTTTCTTAAAGTAGTGATTTCGCTGATTAACGTTTCAATTACTTTACGAAATTCAGAATTACTAACTGTGAACATTTGAACACTTCCTCGGTGGTAATATACTATATGTGAAAAAAGGTGATGCTACATAGTGTAAATCATATAACGACACATGTGGGAATTGAAGTGGTGTGAGTGCGGGATCCTATAACACTACCGCATTGTCCGTTATTATTGGCTCTAGAAGATTCTAGATTTCAACTGTCCGTTGGAATGTTTGAACAACATTACCATGAATAGGCATCCTTTTAATAGTTTTTCCTATTCTTCTTCGGTCTAGGCGTACAATTGCAAAGTAGTTATGTATTATCGCTATTATATTCTAAATTTTGATTGTGGATTAAGATATTTCATTACTCCTGCATAGAATAGATTGTTCTCCAACCAGTAGGGTAATTATTTTACGATTGAAGGTGCATATATGAAACAAAGAAACGGAAAAGCAAGTGCCTGTAAAATCGTTCTACACAATATACTTTTTTTGCCCATATTTCTGTAATAAGGCGCTTCGGTTAGATTTTTTCGGTATAACAGCGTAGAGTGATTTTTTCCTTAACGTGGTTGGATATTTTTTTTCCGCTTAGGGCGTGCATTTTCGAGAAATAGTGCCGGAAGTGTCAGTGGCTCTCAGATCGTGCTGCGCAATTTACTTTTTTGGCTTCTAGTTTTTGAATTAGGCTTTTTCCATCGGATTTTTCCACTGATTCGCGTAGAGTGATTCTTTCCTTAACGGGATTGGATATTTTTTTTCGGTTTAGGGCATGCGTTTTCGAGAAATAGTGCCGGAAGTGTCAGTGGCTCTCAGATCGTGCTGCGCAATTTACTTTTTTGGCTTCTAGTTTTTGAATTAGGCTCTTTCAATCGGATTTTTCCACTGATTCGCGTAGAGTGATTTTTTCCTTAACGGGATTGGATATTTTTTTTCCGCTTAGGGCGTGCGTTTTCGAGAAATAGTTCCGGATGTGTCAGTGGCTCTCAAATCGTGCTGCGCAATTTAGTTTTTTGGCTTCTAGTTCTTGAATTAGGCTTTCTCAATCGGTTTTTTCCACTGATTCGCGTAGAGTGATTTTTTCCTTAACGGGATTGGATATTTTTTTTCGGTTTAGGTCGTGCGTTTTCGAGAAATAGTGCCGGAAGTGTCAGTGGCTCTCAGATCGTGCTGCGCAATTTACTTTTTTGGCTTCTAGTTTTTGAATTAGGCTTTTTCAGTCGGATTTTTCCACTGATTCGTGTAGAGTGATTTTTTCCTTAACGGGATTGGATA